AAGTAGTACTGTCCCATAAAACACTGAAAAGTAGTGGAAAGAAAAAAAGTTTACAGTTATCTTGGAGAGAGATACAAGTATACCAGATCATTTCAAATCATCTAAGTCTATTTAAGTTTTTCTTCCACTATTTAAGTGGAAGAAGAACAAACATGAAAAATGGAAAAGATTTATCTGTATTTCCAGATCAAACTATTTTCTCCGTAAATCACAATAGAGCCACCACATCTGGACTCCAGTGTCACAGTTCCCACTGTGTTGCATGGGGAATTAGAAATAGTACTAAAGTAAAAAGAGATGGCAACAATAATTGGGACCATTTATATACAGGGTAGAACTATGCTGAAGTCTGCATAATGGTGAGGGTATTTAGAAATCAGTTATTAAGTTATCTGAAGGGTGCAAGATGCCCAAAGGCTTGAAAAAAAATTATTGGCCTTGCTATTACCAGAAAAAAGATTAAAAAAATGTAACTATTAACCTATACTTACTTTGCCATCTTTATAAAATCTTTATGAAAACAATATCTATCTTTATCCTTGATGAAGGCATGAGACACTTCTCATAGGCAGGTTTCTGAAAACAATATTTTAAAACAGACCACATCTTTATAGACAAAGGATACAAGATTCCACTGATTTTATTGTTTGTTGACTATTGAAACAAATTTTGATTTGGTGAATGGTGAGTCCTATAGATACTATTGTTCGTGAGTGATATTATATTGGTTGTATCAAGTCCTATAATATGGCAGTCTCCTAAAAAAGATACCAATCCTCTTAAGAGTTTGGCCTGACCATCAAATTTGGAAATAACAAGTGGATGAAAAATGTCTATTGCCACATTTATGACATACAATTGGATGGAGAGTCTATGGAATACAATAATCTATCAATACATAATATACATATAAGTTGTATATATACATATGTATGTGTGTATGGGTGTAATTTGAGACAGATGATAAAATGGACAATAAATTGGGCCTGTAATTAAATAGGAAGGAGAAATCAGATTGGATTGCCTTCAGGAAATTAGAAAATTGCCAAGTTCCTCCAATATCCTCTCAGAAACAAAGTTCCATATTTTGAAACCAAAGTTCTCTATATGACTATAAAACATGGAACACAAAACCTTTATGAAGAATTGAAATATCACACAAAGGACAGTGAAGAAATATATGGTGGATGTGAACAGGCAGCAATATATAATCAATGAGGAACTTCAAAGAAAAACAGGAATAAAAAATTGTCAGAGGAAGAGAAGATGGTCTGGTGAGGGTGATGTTGCAAGAGAGGACAAGTATACAGTCCAAGTGCTCCACTGAGATCCTTGTGATATCAGGAGACATCAAGGAAGGCTATCAGCATGTTGTATGCACAGCCTATGACAAACTTATTAGAGAATATGGGCAAAGTTTACACAGGAAGGGCAGGCACCGATGGTTGTGATCTGCATTGTTAGAGTGAACATCTAAATCAATGAGGTCACAGATCCGTATGAATATGAGAGAGAAGCATAAAATAGGGAAACATAAGCTTGCCAAATGTGTTTACCTCTGTCATAGAGGATGTTAGCACAGAATCCAAACAGAAGTGGAATATAAATGATGAGGCTCTCCATGTAACCCCAATTGGGTCAAGTCCCAGAAGAGTGAAGAGCCTTCTAAATGAGATCCGTAATCACTCATAACATTTCTAACCATCTACACAGGAAAAAAATCGTGAATACTGTTGTGTGCATAGCATGTGTACAGACTAACAGGCCTAGAACTGAATAGTAGGGCAAGCTGGATTGCATTTGGGAAATTCTGCAGTGCTTTGAATTACTTGTCCCTGGAATGAAGGATCATCTTTTTAACATCATTATCCTTCTGGTAATGCTATATAGCAGTGATACAAGAAATACAGTCTCTAAGGAGGTATAATTTGAGGACACCCAGAGGTCCATGGAGAGGCACACTGTGCGTAGAAGTAGTTTACAGCAGCACATTCTCAAGAAAGAATTGCATAGCATAAGTGAGATAAATAGGGAAATGACCAGAGAGATATATGGCCAAAAAAAGAAAGCAGGCCAGTCATGAAGCAAGAATGGGGGATAATTAGTGAACCGTTCACAAGATCCATTTGTAATCACTCAGCATAATGACATCCACAAGAATGAAAAGATGAACAACATCAAGAAATCTACCAGACAATGTTGGGTAGATCCACGTGGGGGATTTATGGGAGAAAATGGACAAGAGTTCTACAAGAAAGGAATATGGATCTTGCTTCCAGTAAGTATGGAGAACAGAGACAATTTTGCAATAACCTGCATAGTGTATATGATGCTTGCTTTTTGCTACAGCCATATTATCACTGTGTATGCTCAAAACCAACTTTGGTCTTCAAAGAAGAGAAGGTAAAGGGGCTTGAGGAATACTTCTCTTTTCTTCAGGTTATCAGGAGCAATGAAGTGTTCCTTTAAAAAATTAGGAAAAGTTTCTCAATATGAGACTAAAGAGAAAAAAATTGAAAAGAAAGAAAAGAATTCTTAATTATTTCAAAATATTGGGAGAGTAAAAAAATGTTACATAGTGAAGAAAAGGAAGAAGGTCCACTGCATACTTGGAGGTGAGTTAAAATACAATCTTCTTCCTAAAGGAGAGGGACCTTGCCCCTCCCAGGAAGAAACAGCAGCCTGTACTGTGAATCAAGTCAAGTTAATAAGCGTTTATTAAATGCCACTTTGTGCCAGGCACTGTGCTAAATACTGAGGATATAAGGAAAGGCAAAATACAATCCTTGCTCTCAGGGAGATCATAGTCTAATGGGGGAGGCAACATGCAAACAAATTATATGCAAGCAAAGATATACACAGGATAAATTGGAGATACTCTAAGAAGGAAGGCACTGCCATTAAGGGGGATCAGGAAAGGTTTCTTACCGACCAAGGTAGCCAAGAGACAGAGATGAAGAGGAAGAGGATTCCAGGCATGAGGAAAAACAAGTGGAAATGCATGGAACCAGGAAATGGAGAATCTTGTGTGAGGAAGAGTAAGGAGACCAGTGTTTCTGGACTGCAGGCTATGTGAAAGTAATGTGTAAGAAGACTGGAAAGTTAAGAAGATGTCAGGTTATAAAGTGCTTAAAATGCCCAACAGAGGACTTTATATTGGATCCCAAGGGCAATAGGGAGCTCCTGGAGTGACTGAAAAGGAATTATCATGTGGACCCACAGGTTCTGTGAGCTGGAAAATTATCTAGTAAGGACCAGGTGAATAAGAGACAAACAGTGGTGGTTGGCTACACCATGTTAAGGGGTTCCAAGGCCCCTGTATTTATGCAACCGTGTTAACACTGAGAGTTCTGCTGTCTTTCTGGGGTATGTATCCGTATCAAAATAGGAACCTCCCAAGACTTTTCAACCTCAATAAGTACTATCTGCCTACTGTGATGAACATAGTCATAATTGATGCTGCCAGAAAAATGTCTATAAAGCATTGCTAAGAATGAAATATTCTTAAATATTTGATGGCTTGTCAGGTGAAAGAGAAATTAGACTGTGCTTGGTCTCAGAAAGCAGAAGTAGGAATGATAGGAGTTGCAGAGGCAGATTTAGGCTTAATGTATGAAAAAACTTCCAGAAGTAGAAGGGCCATTTCAGGAGGTAATGGGTTCCCACTCACTGGAGATCTTCAAGCAAAGTCTAAATGACCTGTTGGTCAATAGTATTATGTAGGAGATTCTGGTCAGTTGGAGTTGATAGCTTCCAAGGTCTCTTCTGATTTCTTATATTCTAAGTAAGGATGAGAAGCTGTGATGGGGTTGCCATCTGTTCTGTTGGAGTAAGAAGCAATGTTAATAAGATCACAAATCCATCAATGTATCAATTTTTTTACAGATGGAATTTATGGGTTCCGATGAGAAATTCTTCTTGAAAAAATGTTATGCATAATACTGTGACTTACATTTGAAAATATCAAATGAATATTAAACTCAAACTTTACATTACTTTTTTTGAGTTTCTAAGAAGCTGTTTTATGTTGATCCTACAATTTGTCCTTGTTTAACCTAGTCTGTCCTAAAATGGAAAATAGTCCTCCACAGATTGAAGTAACTAGGGTTTCTGAAACAAAAGTGTAGTGAAAAGAGGAATGGACCTCAGAGTCAAGAAGGCTTGGATTGGAATACCAGCTTTGCCATTTGCCTTCTAACATGACATTAAGCAAGTCAATTTCCCTTTGTGGTCCTTACTTTACCATCTATATAATGTTGGACTAGAATGTTTCTAGTTCTCTAGATAAATGAAACTCAAGCTTTCGTCCATGGATTCCTGAGGGTCCTTGAGACCCTTTCAGTAGGTCTGAAAAGCCAAAATATTTTCATAATACTGAGAAGTAATTTGCCAATTAAAATGTGCCTTCCTTTTTCAACCACATGTCTGTGTGAAACTGGATTTTCTTTATGTATTTCAAATGAAATAACATATCACAACAAATTGAAATCAGAAGTAGATAGGAGAATCAAGCTATCTCTTATTAAGCCAGTCATTGAAGAAATTTGCAAAAAAACCTAAAACAATGCCAGTCTTCTCACTAATTTTTTTGTTTTGGAAAATATAGTTTTTTTCATAAAAAATATGTTATGTTAACTCATAATTTATCTATTATTTTATTTTAAATGAATTAAAATTTATCAATTTAAATTTCTAACACAGTAGATATAGATAGATATAACATAAACAAAAGCTTTTTAGGTCCTCAGTAATTTTAAGAGTGTAATGGGTTCCTGAATCCAAAAAGTTTGAAAACTGCTCCCCTAGATGACATACCTCCCAGCTGTTAACATTCTGTGGCTCCATAAAGGAAAGAATTAAAGGAAAATGGTCCATGACTTGAAATTTATTATTTCCATATAAACATCCTTTGAATAAAGAGAGGTTAGAGTAAGTTGAAAAGGAATATTACCATTGTGGATCATTTTAATTTACAGATATAACAAATGTTTCATTTGTAGAGAAAGAAAATCAACTTGACACAATAATCCTGGTGATAACATTGATAATCTTCAGCCAGATATGAAGGTAAATTATTTCTGCATATATTAATATTTTATTAATACCATACTTGTATTCATTCCATCTAAGTCTTTTTTAAAACAATATTTACTTGATACCATGTCAGATTTTTATATTAGCCTGCAACGATAAGGTTTAATGGCAGGCATTTAGGGGTGCCATCTAAAAATTGAAGTTCCTACAGGTATAGTTTTGCATATTGAGTCATTCTGAATCCCTTCTCATTCTTCATTTACATTTTTCTGACTAGTAACAGCTTTAGAAATGTATATTTAGAACTGCCAGCTTACCTGTGGTAACCAGACTTCCTCTCAATGGCTCAACGCTCAATTCCTCTATTGATCAAAGTTCCCTACAAGGTTCAAGAATGTTATTTAGCTTCTCTGCCTCTGTCCTTTCTACCTTTCCTAATACAAGCTTATGGGCCTTGAAAATCTCAAATGAGAGAAATCACTTTGGGATTAAAAGAGACAGGGATTGCCTGCTACAGAAAACTGCATCCAGAATTATAGCTGTGTGTGGAAGCAGGAGAGGAGAGGAAGAGAGATTATGGATTCTGATCAGATCCTTTGTTTCTATATGTTTCCATCTTTTAAGCAACCTTTGGTTTTAGAGGAGAGCATGCCATTCACAATTTTTATAGTTCTTGTCATAAGAGCAATACTGTTCACATCAGCTCTACATAGAATAGAATAATTTAATAGATAATATTTAACACTGCAATATAATAGCACTGAGGTTTTCAAAGTGCTTTACAAATACTTTCTCATTTATAGTACACACTTCAATTATAAGTCATTTTTAATAAAAGTTAAATACATGAAGTGTTATATGTTGTATATATAAATATCTAAAAGTTAAATATATAAAGATTTATTTAAATAAATTAAAATATATTTGTTGTTCAGTCATTTCAGTTATGTCCTACTCTTCATGACCCCCTTTGAGGTTTTCTTGGCAAAGTTACTGGAGTGGTTTGCCATTTCCTTTTCCAGGTCATTTTACAGATGAGGAAACTGAGGCAAATAGAGTTAAGTGACTTGCCCAGAGTCACACAACTAGTAAGTGTCTGAGACTAGATTTTGACTTATCAAGAGGGGTCTTCCTGACTCTAGGTCCAGCACCATGCCATCTGACTGTCCCCAATAAATAAATAAATATATATATATATATGCACAAATACATAAAAGTTATAATTTTTGAATTTTGAGGACTCTCTCCAGTCATCACTAAATGTTTTTATACTCTTCATTTTCAGGAGTTGGTTATGAAAAATCAGGTATCTATGGCTATAAAAATCAAATTTACATCAAGTATTTAAATCATCATTTGTTTCTTACTTATAAAGGTGAACTCAGAAGAGCAGATCACCTTGCCTTTATAAGAATGACATACTTTTGATGGTGTTAACAATTCATGACTTCCTGGGATTCTGAGTTGCAGAAGGGGCAAAGATGGATTTTTTTTAACATATGAAGTATTTTAACTAACATGTTTCCTTTTATCTATTTATTTCATATGAATCAAACTTATAGGTGACTTGTGCATGGAGGAAGACATTCTAGCACCTTATCTGGGAAACCAAGGCACAGAAGATGTTAAATATTAAATTATATTTTTGGCTTCAAAACTCATGACTCCATTGTTATTCTTGCATTGGTAGGGGTTTTGAATGGTCTTATTTTTTTGCTCATTAAACCTTTTTTTCAATGGGACAATGAATTAAAATGAAAATTTCTTTCAATTAACTAATTTATGAGCTTCATTCTTTATCCCTTGGGTCAAAGTTTGACATTTAAAATTTTCTAAGTTTAAAAATCCTAGTCTGTTTTGGGTAATCTCAGAGGGAAGGCACTAAGATTGAGAGAGACTAGGAAAGGCTTCTTATAGCATGTGGGGCTTTTGACGAGATCGGAAAGAAGCCAAGGAAACTAGCAGGCAGAGATGTGGAAAGTGTTCTAGGCATGAGGGACACTGTGCCAATAAAAATGCTCAGAGGTGGGTGATGAGGTGTCTTGTACACAAAAAAAAAGTGAGGTCGAAATGGGTTCATGATTTAGATGTAAAGGCTTGTACTGTAAGCAAACTGAGAGAGCAAGGAATAGTTTACCTATCAGATTTATGGAGAACAGAAGAATTCATAACCAAACAGGAGATGGAGAACATTACGAAAAGCAAAATGGATAACTTTGATTACAATAAATTGAAAAGTTTTTGCACAAACAAAGCCAATGCAACCAAGATTAGAAGGAAAGTAGAAAATTGGGAAAGAATTTTTACAACCAATCTCTCTGATAAGGGCCTGATTTCTAAAATATATAGAGAATTAAGTCAAATTTATAAGAATACAAGTCATTTCCCAATTGATAAATGGTCAAAGGATATGAACAGGCAGTTCTCAGATGAAGAAATTAAAACCATCTATAGTAATATGAAAAAATGCTCTAAATCACTATTGATTAGAGAAATGCAAATCAAAACAACTCTGAGGTACCACATCACACCTATCAGGTTAGCCAACATGACAAAACAGGAAAATGATAAATGTTGGAGAAGATGTGGGAAAATTGGAACACTAATGCATTGTTGGTGGACCTGTGAAATGATCCAACCATTTTGGAGAGCAATTTGGAATTATGGCCAAAGGGCATGCCCTTTGACCCAGCTATAGCACTTCTAGGGCTATATCCCAGAGAGATCATACAAATGGGAAAAAGACCCACATGTACAAAAGTATTTATAGCAGCTCTTTTTGTGGTGGCAAAGAATTGGAAATTGAGAGGATGCCCATCAATTGGGGAATGGCTGAACAAGTTGTGGTATATGAATGTAATGAAATACTATTGTGCTATAAGAAATGATGAGCAGGCAGACTTCAGAAAAACCTGGAAAGACTTGTATGGTCTGATGCTGAGTGAAGTGAGCAGAACCAGGAGAACATTGTACACAATAACAGCCATGTTATGTGATGACTAATATTGATAGACTTCACCCTTCTCAGCAATACAAGAATATAAGACATCTACAAAGGCCTCATGATGGAAAATGCTATCCACATCCAAAGAAAGAACTATGGAGTTTGAATGTAGATCAAAACATACTATTTGCTATTTTTTTCTTCTGTTGTGTTTTATTTCCTCTTTCTGGTGGTTCTTCCTATTGGTTATAATTCTTACTTACAACATCACTTATGTGAAAATATATTTAATAGGAATGTATATGTATAGCCTAAAAAAAAAAGTGAGGAGACCAGTGTCACTGGATCACAGAGAGTGAAGAGGGGAATAAGCTATCAGAAGACTGGAAAGGACTCAGTTATGAAGGGCTGTTTGAAAGCCAAACAGATGATTTTATATTTGATGTTGGAGATAATATGGAGTTACTGGAATTTATTAAAGGGGAAGTGATATGGTCAGATCTTCGTTTTTAAAGGAAGATCATTTTGACAGCTGAGTAGAGGATGGACTGGAGTGGGAAGAGATTTGTGGTGGGGAGACCAAACAGAAGGCTACTGTAGTAGTCCAGGCAGGAGGTGATGAGGGCCTGGATCACAGTGGTAGAGGTGTCAAAGGAGAGAATGGGGTATATATGAGAAATGTCATGAAGGTAGAAATGATAGGACATGACCACTGATTGACTATGGGGGATGAAAAAGAATGAAGAGCCAAGTATGACACCTAGATTTTTGACCTTAAGTAACTGAGAAGATGGTGGTACTCTCAATAGTAATAGGGAAATTAGGACAAGGGAAAGGTTTGGGGGAAAAGATAATGAGTTCAGTTTTGTACATGCTGAGTTTAAGATGTCTATGGGACATCCAATTTGTGATATCTAAAAGGTAGATGGAGATGTGACACTGGAGATTGGAAGAGAGGTTGGGCCTGGACAGGTAAGTGTGAGAGTCATCTGCATGGAAACAATAATTGAAACTATGGGAGCTGATGAGATCACTAAATGAAATAGAATAGAGGGAGAAGGCCCAGAATAGAGATCTGGGGAACCTTCACTGTTGGTAGGCATGACATGGATGAAGATCAAGCAAAGGAGCCAGAGAAGATACAACAAGACAAGTAAGAGAATCAAGAAAGAATAATCTCATGAAAACCTAGAGAGTATCAAGGAGTAAAGGGTGCTTGAAAGTGAAAGGCGCAGAGAGGCCAAGAAGGATGAGAACTGAGGTAAGGCCATTAGATTTAATAGAGGCAGGATCAGTGGTAACTTTAGAGAGAGTCGTTTTGGTTGAATGATAAGGTCAGAAGCCAGGCTGCAAAGAGTTAAAAAGAGAGTAAGAGGAAAGGAAGTTGAGGCTCTTTGTACAATCAGCCTTGTCAAGGAATTTAGCTGTTTTAGGGAGAATAGAAATGAGATGCTAGCTAGTGGGGATGGATGAATTGTGAGGTCTTTTGGAGGATGGGAGAGACATGGGCATTTTATAGGCAGTAGGAAAGCAGTCAGTAGACAAGGAGCAGGAAACAGAAGTGTGGAGGGGGAAATCTGTGGGAGAAGACAAGATGGAATGGGATCAAGGCAAATACAGACAGGGATTTGCCTTGAAAGAAGGGCCATATCTTCTTGTGAGACAGAGACAGTGGAGGAGATAAGAGCAGAAGGCATCTGAATGATGGGATATGAGAAGAAGAGAAAAAGAGGGAGTTTTCCACAATGGCCTCAATTTTTTCCAGTTAAATATGAGACAAGATTCTCAGCTGAGAAGGGGGAGAAGAGGAAGTCATGGGAAGTTTGAGAGTAGGAGATGGATAATGATCCAATGAAGAAAAGTTGATGATATAGGTAAGAAGAGAACAAAGGAAGAAGAGGAACATTAATACTAAGGGTAGAAATTTAAGGGTAAATTTAAAATTTAAAGGTAAATTTTAAAGGTGAAAATCTACTCAGGGTAGAATTTAAGTAGACTCATAATTTCAATTTTGAGCCTCTCATAGAAAGTAGAAATTAGTTTATCTGTATTTTTCTCCTTCTTTCCATTTGTATTTGGCCTAAAATTACTTAGACTGAAAAATGATAGGAGAAAAAGAGCTGACCCATGAATTACCCTGTCAACATTTACAAATAACTGAATTTGTTTGAAAAGCAAGTAACATCACTCAAGTTTATTTAGTATTTTAAGCATGTTTGAGCTTAATGTCTGTTATAGAAAGGAATTTCCAAAATTATAGTGATGATTCAAAATTTTGTAGGAATTTTCAGTCCATTCTTCTACTCATCTTTAATGATGTCAGATCAGAAGTCTCATAAATTTTGGTGAAACTTAAAACATTTCCAAATTTCTAATCACACTGGAATAATCACCAACAAAAAAAATCTATAATTTTCAACATTAAGCCTACTTTAACATAGGAAACATTTGAAAAAGAAGAATTGAAAAACAAATGCATTGTACCTTGGTTCCTATTTCCTTTGGGGACTGATATGAGAGTTAAAGAAGCAAAGACCCGGAGGAAGTGAATTCATCACGTAAGATTTGGCAGGTGATCAGATGGCTCACCTCTCAGCAAAAGAGTAGTAAGACTTCTTTTCTTCAGGTGAAGGGACTTAGAGAGTTTTAAAGTGCTGGTGCTAAAATCCATCCCATAAGCTAACATTCTGTTAGAAGATATGCATATGTTTGGTGAGTTAGGACTTAGGTTAAATTCATTTTGTTTTGAGTTCAGTGCTTATAGTGTAAACCACATGTCAAGGAAGTCTGCTAATGCCCCTTGAGACTACTCTTGGCAGTCAGAATAGGCTCAGTATGAGAGCCGATTCTCTTCAGTGACTCCAATATGGCTCATATTCATGGTCATTTCTTCATTTCCTCTCTGGGAGCCTATTTCCTTAACAGTCTCTTATTCCTGAGCACCCTGTTCACCAGAGAGTCTCATTAATTCTACCATGGACAATATAATCTTTGCAGGGCCTCAGCCATTCCCTGGCTCTATTTTATACTGGCAGAAAATTTGGTCTTCTTGGTTAAAGATGTACCAAGTCTCAGCAATTAAGCACATAGAGAACTGGGTCTTTGATGACCATGTAAGATGCATCATGATATGTAGCCTGGATATTATTAAAAGTACCAGATAGCTCTCCACTATCTTGTGCATTCTTGGGAAACCAAAATCTTGTAGATGGACTCTTTCCCCAGCTGAGCATAGACAGCAAACTCAATTGTTATACCTTTATTTGTCTCCCTCCATGCTCTTCTAAATCAAGACCATTTCTAGGAGTAAACTGATGTCTCAAGACCACATGGTGGTGACCATGTCATTCCCCTTCTCAGTAAACTCACCCCACAAAATATAAGGGTACAATGCTCCCAAATATCATGTCTTCCTTCTTTATAGTGTCTGTACTATCTGTACTGGATTCTCTACCCACCCCAAAGAGGCATCCCAGAAAAGCCCCCAAAATGTAACCTGTCAGATTAAGCTCAATCATAGCAAGCTTTTCTCAAGTGACAATTTATTTTCACTCCTACCCTGAGAGTCTCTGTCTCTGGGAATGTCTCAACTTGGCTCATTTCTTAGATACTCAGTTCACCTGCAAGCAACCAAGACTACCAATAAACACTTGAACATAAAGCATATTTATTGGAAAGTATACAAGAATAGAAATGGAGTTTGCCTCCATGCC